TGCAAGGACTCCAGGATAGGAGTAATGTGAACACTTGCACTAAGTGCACTAACTTGTGAGTATGTGAACATTTGCACTAACTTGCACTAAAACAACAGACAAGCCTGAATCAACCCCCCCCCACCCCGCACTCACTCCAGAGACGGCCCCAGCCGGTGACATAGCACGGTGCTCTGTTGGGCAGGATGACCCCAGCGTCAGGAAGACAGGCAGGCATGATGGTGTCACTGATGGTCACAGGAGTCTGGAGCTTCACCAGGGCGATGTCATTCCTGAGGAACACAGAGCCTGGAGTGAGGACAGCAGGCCCGGGCAAACCTCAAGGCTCGGTCGTTCATTCCTGTCCCCTTTCTGCAGTTAAAATGTTGTTGTAATAGTGATGTAACTGATGGACAGGAGCGCGAGAGCCTTAAAACACTTTTCTTTTTCATTCCTAACACCGCCCGGTCAAGAGTTTTTTCCCCTTGAAGGAGGACGTTGCCGCCTATACGCACCAGATGTAGTAAGAGTTCCAGTTCTCATGAACGACGATCTTAGCCGCACGGATGGCCGCAGATCCGGGCTCTGACTCCTTCAGGTTGTACTTGCCCAGGACCACCCTGTAGGTGTTGCTGCTGCTGCAGGGTGACGACGAGAAGTGGACAGTGAGTGGAAAAACTGCAGACAGGTCAGACGTGAATCGCTACCAATTTACTTTTATTGCACACACAAAATAGACCCTACATTAGGTACGGATAATGTGTCTTTCAAAGCATCCTGTGGCACACAGCAATCATCAAAGGTCTAACTGTCTGGATACTATGTTTGATAACTATAACTTGTAGTTGTATAATTGTAGAGGGATTCTCCTCTTTGCCTAGTTACACAATCATCTGTCAAGCAGCTCCTCCAGTGACCGATGGATGAGTCATACAGTCCGGAGATGAGAGTCCGAAGGCTCTTGTTAATGTGTGTGCAGTCCCCTCAGCAGAAGTCTCCCTCTCCTCCTGCTCTTACCTGATGCAGTGCGCAGCAGTGAGGACCCAGTTGGACGCGATCAGAGTCCCGCCGCAGGTGTGATACCAGTTATTATTCCTCGTGTACTGGAGAGAGATCTAACGCCCGGAAAAGAAGAAAAAAATCATCAAAGATTCAGCCCTTTTAGATCCTTTCGGCTCTCTGTGCAAAAGCCTTTTCTTTTCCACTTCACATCTGGACTTAGAAAGTCAAACCTGCAGAACACAGACCCTGTTCGTAATCCACTGACTGAATCTGCTCATCACTAGGAACTTCCTTCTGAAAGGTGACGCACAGCAAGCTAATCAGACCAGCTTACAAACTGCAGCTGTATCAGCTGATGGCTGTAGTGTCTTTGCTCCTCAGCTGCATAAACATTACTGGCTTAAACAGACAATTTGGATGTTTTTTTTTTTACAGAAGAGATTATTCTGCAAGTGCTTTGTGGCAATCTGTAATGAGCTACAGCAAAGACATATCAATCGATTGACTCGGTCTAGTGCTACAGTAGTTTCACTGCTTAGAGTTAGCATACAGAGCTCCAACTAGGAAACTACTGCTTGTGTTGCTCACAGTCCAAAGCAGAGGGCGGCTTGAACAACACGCAGGTGAGAGGAGCAGCTCTTACCTGCCAGGGCCAGCTGTGCGGTCTGGCGTCCTCACCCCCCACGACTCTGGTCACCACGGGGGCGAAGGTGGGGCGCCCACAGCCGTAAGCTTAGACACAGAGAACACCGACCGTCAAAGACTGGGAGCTATATAACACCAACACTTAGTGCTGAGGACCCAACACTTAGCAGTTCCCATTCCACATCTCAAATAGGGGTTACTAGTCATTCTGAGCTATCGACCTCTTCTGCACAAAAAAAAAGGGTAGAGTATCTTCTGATTATAGCCCAGAAGCCCATCCCAACTTCTAATTATAGTCCAGCAACAATGGATGATAGTCCAAGCAGCAACACCCCATAACTTATTTTGAAGTCATAATTTTTCTGCACAGGTGGCAAGGTTGCTCAGTGGCTAGCATTGCAGACACTGGGGCCCTGGGTTCAATTCCTGGGGTGCTGTCTGTGTGGAGTTTGTATGTTCTCCCCATGTTCATGCGGGTTTCCTCCGTGTTCTCCAGGTTCCTCCTACATGGAGCATACTGCTAGGTTAATTGGCCCTGGCGTGAGTGTGTGTGTGTTTGTGCCTCTGTGGGGCCCTGCGATGGACTGGCGTCCCATCCAGGGTGTACCCTGCCTCGTGCCCAGTGCTTGCTGGGATAGGCTCCAGCTCCCCTGCGACCTTGAATTGGAAGAAGTGGTTAGGAAATGGAAGGATTGATTGCTCTTCACACCAATTAGAGAAGACTTTCTTTAGGACCCAAATCAGAAGCAATTCATTGTGCATCACTAGTCTATATTTTTCTATCATTTGAAAGTTCGGAAACAGTTCCAAATGACCACTGAAATACTGAAATAATAAAGATGATAAGCAAGTGCAACCTATGTAATAAGGATTCGAATATGCATCACACATTTCAACAATAGTAAAATAAGCCATGATAAAGAGCTTTGCAAATTATTGTTAGATACAATTCACCTAAGATAATAGGATGGGAAACGAAGAGAGGTTTTTAAAAATCAATCAAGTTAAATTGAACTTTATTCATTTTTAATGTTCACCTACCACCAGCAGCAAAAAGCACAAGGATGACAAACTTCAGCATGACTGCGTCTTGGGTTTGGAGAATGGATGATGCTCTTTTATACAAGAAGGGCACATGTGGGGACAGAAATTAAAACGAAAAGAGAAAAAAAAAGTTTGGCATTTATGTTATCACTCATGTTATCACCTGCCTGTCAAGAGAAATATTATCACATTTATTTAACCTTGCAGATAAACACCCTAAAAATAAATGTACTTACCTCTATGTTCAGTTTAAAAATTAACTCATTAATTAGCAAACTGAGAAATATTGATGCTCTTCACATACCTTTCTCTAAAAGTTAGAGAAATCTAGCATAGCCCGGAAGTCTTTTTGCTAAGGTTTGCTTACTGATTCCAATTGATTACTTATGATTGTGGCATAGATTAATTGTGTGTCATGTTTCTCATCTGTATGCAAAAACACACTTCTGAATTCTACCTAAATCTTCCCTTATTGATCTAACTGCATCACTGGTTTGGCTAATCCTCCAAGCTTTATATTGTAAGAAAATATGACAAATATTCTACATATCGATCCACCTGTCATCTATGTACGGAAAATAAGCAAAAACAATGCTCCCAGTACTGAGCAGTGGTGGTACTCCACACCTGGGACACTGCTAAATTCAAAGCCTTTCCTCTTGCTTTTGCTCTCTGTTGTCCTATACTGAAGTTAGAGGGAAACCATCCAAACTGGACACCCTTAACAGCTCCCACGGCTTTGAGTTAAACAATGAATCGGTTCCAAGAAATCTTACATGCCCAATGCCTGATGAGTAGAAACACTAGTACCAAATCAATTAAGTCTATGTGGAGAGGCAAGACTTTTCTCGAGTCGATGCCAAGATCCAGCAGTGTAAGGAAGAACTCAGACAGACAACGATCATTAAACAAGGAATACACAGTAAGCACTTTAAGGTGTAAGCGATTGTACTTTGTGATCTATTTACAATTGTGCTCTAGTGTCTCTGTTGATTAACCAGGCTGTACATTTCGTACCTATTAATTCTCTATTAATTAATTCTCTATTAATTACCTATTAATGTTAAATCTGTCCAGTTTCCCGGGCCTGTTTTACCACACTGAATTTCTCTCCCTCCCAGTTCTTTAGTTTAAACCCTCTAGAAGTCCATGCATAACATGCCCTGTTTAAATTAGTTCTCCTTCAGTTGAAACCCAACCCATCACGTTTTGTTTCAAAAGGAACACCAGTGCCCCATCCAAACGGGCATAAATGTCACAAAGAAAGAAATATGGCGGAGATTTCAGTACATCTATTGGTCCATAAATATATATTTATAAAGGTCTAACCTTTAACCTTTCCTCAGACATGAGGACAAAAAGGAGAAACTAGAGAACAACACATAGGCACAAAATATTTGGCAAAATATCCATCACAGTTTTACTGGGTGAAACGGAGAAGAGCTGTGACATTAACAATGCAAGGTGTCATTAGCCAGCAGCCATGCAGAATGAACAGATGGATTAAAAATGTAGACTCTTGTGATCAGTAATTACATTATTTGTAGGAAATATTGAAAAACTGACAGTATTCTGTAATCTCGCCAGTTTTTCTTATGATTTAACTATTTTCCATTGGCACATACTTTCTGTTTACATGTAACTGCATTTATCATTGCCAGGTGAAACTTTCACAGCCTTGAAGCTCTTACACCCTGTGCAGAATAAGATGCATTTTAAACAGTTCACAGTGCATAGTGCACAAAGTGCACAACTGTCACAGCTAATTCTTGCCCAAACACGAACAAGTACTCGTGCAAGCATGTGATCTTTGCAAGAACTATGCTTCATGGGATGTCATCGTTCCACAACTGTACCTTTACCACCAAATGCTATAAGATAAAAAACAAAAAGTCAATTTTACTAATAGAATGATTACATTCTATTATATAATACCAAACAGGCACAGTCATGTTCACACACCCTTCTGTATAAACCCAACTAACACTGATTTATTGCTGTTTCACACTTAATATTCTCCCAAGAAGGGGTAGCGATAGCACAGCTGCCCCAAGTCCAGGGGTCAAATGTTCACTTCCTGCCTCAGGTGTCTGTCATGTTCTACCTACAACAGTTTTGTATGAGTTTTCAGTAGGGGGCTCTGGCTTCTTCTTAAAAAGAGAAACTGGACAGATTTAACTTCTTATTCTAAATTGTGTGCGTGGAAGAGTGATTTTTTTATTTTTGCTTTCTTTCTCAGTGGCCATGAGGGAAGAGAGCAGTCGTGTGATCTCAGCCCAGTGTCACGGCCCAGGTTTCTGAGGCTGGCAACAATTTGTAAAATTGTCTTTTCCTAAAATCATATTTGTAATTCATATTATGTGGAAAGGCTTGGGGCATTAGGGCAGGCTATGAGAAGAAATGCCTTCATTCCAAGCAAGGCTGCATGTCATCCTAAAGTCACATACAAATTTTTTTTAAAAAAAGTTATAAAAACGTGATGCCATTAAAAAAAAAAGTAAGTGAGCATTTACAACATTTGACAATTTTAGACTGATTTCAACCTGATCATATCTCTGCAACCACATCTGCACGGTGCTCTTGTTGAGGGTTACTGCTTTATTCCCTCAGAAGGCAGCTTTATGTTTGATCAGAATGGAGATTTCAACAAGGCAGTAAGTGTGAATCAATCCAAGGGTAAAAGGTGGATATGCTTGAGGCAGATCACACTTCTAAAAAACTCCCCTTATTAATATTAGCTATACTGCAACTGCTTCTACATCTTTAGGTGTTTCAATTAACGTACTGTATGTTGTAAGCATCAACAGTATGAGTATAACAACCTTGACTTCTTACTACATTACACAGACACTTCAAAAGCTCTATCACAACAACTCAAGGTAACAAGGA